CCACAAAACAACTCCATGCCTAGAGTTCAAGGTGCGTCTAGAAGATCTAGCCAGAAGACTAGTGACCCACTACATAAAAGAACAAAAGACCACCTCTACCTCAAACATCCTCCAGCCACAGAAAGAAAAAATCCACATCAACCAACACTTTTATTACAACAAAATATGGTTTCCCAAAGTTCCCAAACACTGTATTTTAAATAACTTTTTTAAAGAATTCTCAAACAAGACTATTAATATAGTCAACCAATCCCATAAACTTAAAAGTAACCTCACAAGTAAGATGATCAAATTTATTTATAATCTGAAAAAAAGATACTAACATTAAAATTCTAAAAGCTGATAAAGGCAACACCACTGTAATCATGAACAACTCAGAATACATCAACAAAATGTACGACATCCTTTCCAATAAAAAGAAATTCAAAGCCATTCCAAACAATCCAACAAACACACATGAAAAACAACTAAACAGAACTTTATTACAAATGAAAAAAATAATTTAATTACTGACAATCTTTATTTTTATCTACATAAAACTGATTCACGCACACCACAACTCTATGGCATTCCTAAACCACACAAAGAGGACTGCCCCCTACGACCTATACACTCCACATATGATTCCTTCAACTACAGTCTTGGCAAATACATAGCCTGGGTTCTCACACCATATGTAACATCTACAGGCTCATTTTTTTAAAGATGCCTTCAATTTCAAACATACATTAGAACAACTAAATTCGAAAGCCTTAATGGCTAGTTTTGATGTCATGTCACTCTTCACTGAAGTCCCTGCCAATGAAGCTTGCAATATTGCACTCAACCTCTACATTTATGACCCCAACAAGTTAATGCACATCCCCAGCACACGTTTTACTTCTCTCTTAGAATTTACAACAGCTAAAATGAACATCATTTTTAACAATGAATATTTCCTTTAAATAGATGGTTTAGGTATGGGCCATCCTGTTTCACTCATTCTTGCCAATATATTCATGACCTAGATCGAAACACAAGCCATACATTCTGCACTACATCCCTCACTATACTGGTACAGATATGTCAATAACAATTTTGCTGGTTTCACTTCTACAGAACATACACTAACTTTCTTTGAACACGTACATTCCTTTCATCCCAAAATCAAATTTACCATAGAACATGAAAACAATAAACATTATTAGATCAGACACATAATACCACATAAAAAATCAATACACTGAAAAACCTCATAAACACAGCCACAATATTCTGTTCAACAGGCTACATAGATGAAGAAATCAATCACATAAAGCATTCCTTCATTCACACCAATAAATTTCCACCAGCTATTGTTGAAAAACTCTCCAACATTCACCACAACAAGACTGAACTCATGAAAATTGATACTAATAAACCCCACACCACAACATTACACTGCAGTTTACCTTTTGTC